TTTTTTTTTTTTTTTTTTTTTTTTTTTATTCCTTTTATTCCTTTACATAAAGTTGATATTGTTTGGTTTTTTTTTTTTATTTTTTATTTTTATTTTTTTCAAAATTTTACTCCAAAGGGTCATTGCTAGAGATGTTAGAAACTATTACTTTTTTTTTATATGGATGGATATGTGGTGTAATCGCGGTGATCATTTGCTATGTATTTGATATGGGGGTTCTTCTTAGTTTTCTACCTGTTAACAATGCAGTGTTTATGTTTCTATACAGGCATCTCTTTGGATGTGATTTGAACCTTAATACGAAACGACGTTTTGTGGATACAATTCTTGGAAGTATTCCAGTAAATGTTATTGAATCCCTTGTTTGGGATAAAAAACACAAATATGAGGATCGAGAGAATGATTCCCGCCATCATTATGGAGACTCTGAAGGAATTGGTGTTTCATCCATACTTCACGCATCTGTATGTCGATTAGGATGGTATGATGGTGATGAATTTATTGGTAGTGTTCATGATGCCCGTTTAGTATTATATGAAAGACATCTTATGGTACATGAGGTAGGGGCTTCACAGAATATGGGTAATCATGAACGTGTTATTACAGCTGAACGATTGATAGGACGTATACAAACAAGTCGTATAAGTGTACGTGTAGCTGTAATTGAATCCAATACCCGTCGTGGTGGTACTGGATCTGGTGTTTTACATGGTCATGTACTACTTATTAATACTATGGATGATGGTCCATTGTTTGATGAACCTGAAGGTACATCAAGTACTTCCTATGTTTCGAAGCAGTCAATGATTTTTCCAAATGGTAGTTATAGTATCACGAATAACAGTAATATCAATATCAATAGCAATACCAATAGCTATATCAACAAGAGTAACAATCAAAATAGTAATATTAATAGTAATAAAAATAGTTCTTTGTATGGTGAAAGTAATCTTAAAGACTCTAAAACGAAGAAAAGTAATGATCGGGGTACTAATAGTAATATTAGTAACAATACTAATGGTAATAATTTTGGTAATACTAATCTTGGAAGTACTTCTTTTACGACGAATACTAATGATAATCGTCTCTCTCCGCGTTATTCGATGGCTGTGAAGTTCTACTCCTTGCGTGATCAAGAGAGGTGGTTAAATCTTTTACGTGCCCCACATGAAGCGGCCCATTGGCGTTCATATCTTCGAACTCTTACGACGCCTGACCCTTTTAATCTTCTTCTGACGCGATTACTTGTCCAGAGTATGCGTACGACTGCCCTTGGAAACTTTATCCATGCCAAGATCCAGAAGAAGCTGGACTCCCTTAGTATAAAGAAATTCCCTCGTGAGATTGAGGGTGGTATTATTCTAGATGACTTTCTCCTGAGTGATGAGGTTCCGATGGTGAGTAATGTCTCCTCCCCGTCCACCTCGGCGAATGGGGAGGTGACGTTTGACTTTGATCTCCTCTACCGCGGCGGGGCGACGCTCTGTCTGCGGCTCAACTTGACTTACCGCGGGCTGCGGATCCCCCACGTGGTGTGTGCGGTGACGATTGAGCGGGCGGCCGGGCGGCTGCGGCTGAGCGTCGGGCCCCCGCCGAGCAAAAAGTTCTGGCTGGGCCTCCTCTCGCCGCCGACGGTGCGGCTGACGGTGGCGCCCGGCCTGAGCCCCCCGGCGGCCCACGGCCCCCTCCACCGCCTCATCGCCGCCCTCCCGGACCTCAGCCACGTCGCCAGCCAACTCCTCCACCTCTACCTCCTCGACGAGATGGGCCTCCCCGTCATGGACGACTACCCGCTCCCAAGCGTACAGAAAACACCCCCAGCCTCCCCACACAACAGGAAATCATGGAATACAAAGTTCGACAGGAAAAACGCCGCCGCACATAGTAGATCACATCATGCCACCACCTCCACCCCCGCCTCCAGCGCCGTTGCCGCTGCCGAGACAGCAGCAACAGCAACAGCAACAGCAGTGGCAGCAGGCATGGGCTCCTTCATGAACGCTATTAAGAGCTATAGAAGCAGGTTTTCCCACTATGGGGATGGAAGCACAGAGGAGAGTCCACTAGGAAAGGAATTATCATTTCGACCACTCAGGGATCCTCTACAAGAGGATGAGGAAGAGGTGGATAATGAGAAGAATGAGGTGGTAATAAACACGCCAAGTGAAATGAGAAGCACGAGTGAAACGACAGTATCAACTCTTAGTGGACTTCCACCAAACTCGGAGGATGCACGACGGCATCGAATTAAAAAAAAAGCAGAAGAAATTATGCGACCAGCTGTTAAGGCAGCCCTCCAGTTACCAACACCATCTGAACAAAAAAATTATTCTTCATAGTAGTTAATAATGCCGTGAACACTTAAAAAGAAAAAAAGAAAGTCTAGTACCTGAAGATGGGAGTTATGAATATTGCATGTCGAGTACCTCTGTTAACCATATATATATATATATATATATATATATATATATATTTGAAAAACTGGACTGGCAAAGATTTATTTTTGATTTTATGGCTTTTTTTTTCTTTTTTTTTTTGACTGAAGTAGTTTGGAATAGGAGAAGAAGGAAAAGGAATCAATATTGGCGCTATTAGGACCAGAAACTGGAGAGTCGACACATAAATACGAGAAAAAGGAAAGGATAGGGTTTACCCACGAAAACAAACCAAACAAATTATAATTTATTTCAAGAGCAATAACAACAACAAGAAAAAAAAAAGAAAGGAACATTAAAGAAGTAAATAACAAACGGAAGTTTGGGGGGAGAAAAAAGGGAAGAAAACGCAATCATTAAAAAAAAAAAAAAGTATGGCTATTTTTTTCCCGTTTCTACTTGGTTTCTGTGGTGGAGCCTCATCTACGGTTTTCATTGTAGTCTTCCTATTTTTTAGGATACAAAAAATGTTGGATGATTTAGTTAAACGTAAAGAGACAGAGACGATGTCCCGTATTGCAGCATCTAAAGAAAAAGATATTTCTGCGCCTTCATCAAAAGTGCAGGCAATATGTAAAATGGCACGATTTGATGATGATATTCTGAGACCTGCTATTCCTGTACGTGTAGTTCTCTTTGGTAATACTATATGTGTATATCAATTTGATGCTAGTCATAGATCACCAAATAAAGAAGAAAAGAATAATAAAGAGAAGAAAAAGAATCATAGCCGTAGTGGTTCAGATGATAGTAGTAATGAAGAGGACACCGAAGATAGTGATGATGCGACCACTATTATCACAGCAGAGAAGTTAATTGGTAAAATTAATTGTAAAACTGTTATGAGTACATCTGAAAAGTTATCTAAATATCACCGTCATACAGATCCAACCAAACGACATGCCCCAGTTCGTGGAAAATGTCTTGTGCTGCGATGTAAAGATGATCTTCCACTTTTTATGGAAGATCCAGTTTTGCAAATGGCACGTCAGCAAGCACGACAACAAGAGGAACAAGAGGAAGAAGAAAAACAACAACAACAACAAGAACGAGAACGTCATCATAAGGGTCATCATAGTTATCATAATCGTCAGAAACATGAACACCAGAGAGATAATCCTTTTTTGGATGCCACTTTTTCTGTTGTGTCTTCTCTTGTAAGTTATCGTAGACATGAGGGAAATTCTGCGAATGAGGATGGATATGATGATTGTCTTAGTTCTTGGACAGCAGTTGTATTTAAATTTCCAACTCGTCGTGAATTAGAGCGTTGGTTTAATTTATTAGAAGCTACTCCCCAATCAGATGAGTGGCGAGGATTTATTAAACGTCTTCCACAATTAGATGTGTTTAATGTTGTGGTGGCACGACTTTTCTTTGAAAATACACGTACGAGTGAACTTCGAGATCTCTTAATTGGTAAATTACGCCGAAAACTTCATAAAGTTTCACGACGACTCCCTAAACATATGCAAGGTGAAATCTTACTTGATCGTTTAGAACTTGGTGGTGAAATTCCTCTTATTAGTAATGTGAGTGATCCAACAGTGGCGACGAGTGGAGAACTTGAATTGGATTTTGATTTACTTTACCGTGGAGGACTTACACTTACTTTACGTTTCTCTATTACTTACCGCAGTGTACGTGTACCTGATATTCTCTTTAATATTAAGATGCTTGAATTGGCAAATCGTATGCGATTAAGTGTTGGACCACCACCATCTAATAAATTATGGATTGGCAGTTCACGTACACCGCAGCTTCGATTGGAATTTACACAAGAAGTTGCTTCTCATGATGGACTTTTACATGCTGTATTAAATCTTATTCCAGATATGAGTAAAGTAATGACAAATATAGTGAAAGTGAAATTATTTGAAGATATGATATTACCATCTATGGATGATTTTCCACTACCGTGTCTCAGTTACTCCCCACCCTCATCCGAGCCGGACTCTCCAACGGTGGATGATACAAGAAGTACAAGTATGATAACATCAACTCTCTTGGAATCTAATAAAGGAGAAGAGGAAAAAGTAAATCCACCGCCTAATAATAGTAAGATTTATGAAACTACTGAACAGGTAACGGAACAAAGTGTCACTACTGTTAAACAAAACATCAATACAACAGAAGAAGTGAAAACTATTTTAAAAACTGTAAACTCTACAGAAACTTTAGAAACAGTACCATCCTTTTCCTCATCTACTCCTAAAGAACAATCCCTCTCATTTGAAATGGATGAGGATGAGACTACAAGTGTGGTATCATCAAGAATATCTTCTAATATGGTGCCTGGTTCATCTGTGAGTGAGCCTTGGCGTCGGACAGCTACTTCTCGTGCGAAGAAGTTCGTGAAATGGATAAAGATTGAAACTAAAAGTTTATCTAAAAAAGGAAAAGAAGAGTGAGAAATGAGAGAGAAGGGGAAATGAGGGGAAAAAAGGGTATCCATTATTATCATTAAATGAAAGAGAGAAAGTGGAAAAAAAAAAGAAAAGGTGCGTCTTGTCTACTTGGATGTAATTACTTCTCTCTTATTATTTCTCTTGTTTGTTTTTAGTTCTTGTGTCTAATGGGGGTTTCCCCACCCCCACTGCAAGTTGCAAATATATATATATATATATATGCGTGTAAAGGATTTGATGATATGGATATATGTTGTGAATAAAGTAGTGATGTCCTTAGCGTTTTTATTCAGTTCATTTTATGCTTTCTTTTTTTTTTTTCTTTTTTCTGTTACTATTACTGCTACTACTAATCTTTCTTGTAATACTTATATGGACTGTGGCTATTTTGCGATTATTATTATTATTATTATTATTATTATTATTATTATTTTTATATTTGTTTCTCCTTCTTTCCTCTCATATCTTACGTATTTTTTTCTTTATTTATTTAATCTATAGTGAGAGGTGCAGCATATATATAAAGTACATTAGATAGAGCAGTACCGCTGTTTTTTTTTTTCTTTTTTTCGTTTCTTTTCCCTCCTTTGTAGTATACAATTATAGAAATCCATCAAAGGTGTGAGAAAGAAAGAAAGAAAGAAAGAGATCCTACTGCAAAAACAACAACAACAACAAAAGAATAAAAAAAAAAAAAGGTAATCATTACTATTTATTTTACTTTTACTTTTTTTTTATTTAATATTGATTCCCTTTATTCACGTAGTCTCTTTTTGCACATGCCACCTCCCCCTCCTCCCGTCCCACTGCGGTTCATTCCGAAAGATCCAAACAACAATAATAATAAGAACAATACCAATAATACCAATACTCTTCCACAGAAGCCCAATTCAATCTTATCAACATCAGAAGCAGCAGCACCGCCGCCGCCAACATCCACTCTCTTCACTGGAGGAATCCCAACAAATACCGCGCCTTCTCCTCCGCGGTTTGAAGAAATCAACGGAACGCTCGAGGACGGCCTTCAGCATCCAAACAGCAACAGCAGTAGTTTACCCAAATTAGGACTGCTCTCACACACACAGCCAATCTCTACAGCCACAGCTATCACTACTGCAAACACCACCACAGCAACAACAACAACAACAAAGACACCATTTGGGTCCACAAGTCATTCTAATGGAATTTCATCAGAGCCTACGGCTTCTCTTCCACTGCCTTTTCCTTTTTCTAATTCACTTCCCTCAGCGCATACTTCTTCTGCGTCCTCCTCATCTTCTTCCACACAACAGATTGCACAACTCTGGCAACTCGTGCAAGATCTTACCTCTGAGAATGCTGTTCTTCAGCAACGCATGCGAGTACTAATGGAGGGAGAAATAAATGATGTGAATCTTCCAGGCATGATGATGTCAACAGCAACCGGTTCTGGTTCGTCTACAATACAAACAACAACGGCTGCTAATACTTCTACTATGATGACTTCAGGCTGTTCACCTGCAGAGGCAGAAGCTCTTATTTTACGTATTCGTCGATTAGAGGCGGCACTTAAAGTAGAAGCGATGGAGCGCGAGGCGTTGGAGGTGCGACTGCAGGCACAAGAGCGGGTATTGGCAAAACTCGTAATGCGATGAATACAGAGAGAAAGAAAGAAAGAATGAGAAAAAAAGAAGAGAAAAAGGAATATATATATAGAGAGAGAGAGAACACCAAGAAGAAGAAAGAAGTTTATAGTGTGTACACAAAGAGAAAAAAAAGAAAAAAAAAGCAGAGGAAGAAAGAAAAGAAAAAAAAGTGAAACGTCTCCTGGATTCTGTGTAGTTGTTTATTGATTTATTTATTTATTTTCTGTGTTATTCTTTGGTTCCATTACACACACCTCTTTTTTTCTTTGTTTAATACTTTATTGCGTTTCTCTTTTTGTCTCTGTCTCTTTCTCTTTCTCCAACTTTTCCTCTCACTATGGAACCTAAGTAGCTCCCACACACACACACACACACACACAGAGAGAGTAGAAAAAAGAAAAAATAGAAAATGCAGAAAAATCCTCGATTAACGTCCAGAAATCTCTTTGATGATATCTTCGCAACTATTCCAGCAGATGTCGTTCTTTACACTGGACCAGCCACACTGCGGGAGAAGTATGCCTTGATGGCAGAGAAAAACGCCACTAAAACTACTACTAATACTACTGGTAGTAGTAATACGATAATAACTACTACTCTTGAAGGGGAAACAGAAGATGTGATGCTTCAGGGAAATGAAATGATAACTATAGGCGGTGAAAATGGAAATGAGAGTTCCACAACGATGATGACGATGAGAAATAAAAATGAGGGAAATACATCATCCTCTTCATCATCCCTCCCTGCTGTAATGGATCTAAGTGCAATGATAAGACGTGCGGCCGAAACGAAATCCACTCCTGTGATGGATACAGTGCGATCTGAACAAGTATTGGATGTTCATTTAGACACTGAGGATGATGCCGTGCGGGAGGCGACGAAATATGCGGCGATGATTGCGGAAATGAATGCGGCAGAAGAAGAAGAAGAACAACAACAAGAAGAAGAAAAAACAGAAAAGTACGGAGGGGCTGAACGAAATAGGAATGTAAACAATAACAATCATAATAAAGGTGGTGGTAGTGCGATGGGAAAAGGAATTGCAGAGGGCCGTCCTATTTCACATGGGGGACAAGGTGGTAATGAACGTAATAATCCTCATTCCCATCAACAACAACAACAAGAAGACCAACAACAATCTCAACAAGGAAATAGAACGGTAGAGGTTCCCCGTCGAAATTTAACAGCAGATGAACAGATTGCTATCATGCAACCTGAAGAAGATATTGAACATGAAGGACGCATTGTGTTATTCCGTCATAATAAAGGATTTGGTTTTATAACGCCTAATGTAGGAGGTCCTGATGTGTACTTTACACGTGAGAATGTAGAGTATGCATTTACACGTCGTGTATTGGAGATCTTTTACAGTGGAAAACTTCCTGAAAAAGTACATCTTTTACAGGGATTAGGTGGAAGTAATAGTAGAAAAGATAAGAACATGTCTTTGCTCTCCGCTCCTGTCTCTGCTTCTTTTACCACAAACAATGATAACAAGAGTAATACTACTACTACTAATAGTAATAGTAATAGTGATAATACCAAACAGCAGGAGATATCAGAAGCTGGACAGGAGACTGAGAAGATCACAAGTGAAAGTAACACTGGAGTCTCTACTGTGGAGCAAGCAGAGAACACGGAAGATACGCCTAGCGCTATTCCAACTCCATCTAACACCACCACCACCACCACCACCACTGCTGCCGTGCCTAAAGAGGAATCTACTTCACCGGATGAATTAGCCCAAAAGGCTGCTGCATTACTTACACCAGAGGCCGCACAGTTGTTGCTATTATTCTTACAAATAGGGAAACCTACTGTATCTGTGCCAGAGTCGGTAACATTTAAAGTACGATGGAATCGCGCTGGAAATCGTGCGGGTAGACGACTACGTGCGGATAATATACGCGGTATATCAAATAATGGTTATGCGTTAACTATTGAACAGTCATGGTTTGACCGTGTCTTTCCACGCGCAATTGGCCGTCGTTCGGAAGATAACACCTCTAAAAATAAAAATAATAATAATAATAATAATAATAATAATAATAATAATAATAACTTGATATCAGCAGAGGATGGGAATGTGTGTTTACCACGCTACCGTGGAACTGTGCGGGTATATGATGCCGATGAAATGCGTGGAAATATTCGTCCCGATGAAAGCGGCATGCATGATGTATTTTTCTACGGTGATGCTTTTCTCTGGGATCCACTGATGGAACCCGCACGTTGTCGACCTGCTGAAGGTCTTGTGGTCCACTATTCTATTTCCGGTAAAGATCGACATGGAAGGTATATTGCAACTCTCATCACCGCTACGGATGATACGGCTTTAAATGATATCAACGCCGTCTGGGCAAGCAACAGCAATAAAGCAGAAGAACGCAATAGAGATAGACAGGATGGTAGTGATGGGGCGAATAGTGCGGGTGTTGGCGGTGTAAAAGGCCGTGATGAGGAAATGACTGGACGGAAACGTGGACGTGATGAGGAGTTATTATTATTAGAGGAGGATGACTATGGTATTATGTGAGTTCCTGTGTAGATATGGGAAATATATGGTGAAAAGTGTGAGGCGATCAACTCTTATTTTTATTTGTTTTTATTTTTATACATATTTTTAATCTTTGCCCCTTTATAAAATGAATTTTTCCCTTCACAGTATGATGTTTTTAACCATTTCATTTTTTTTCTTTTTTTTTTTTCTTTTTTATGATTATTGTACAACCATACAAAATAGTGTAGCTCTTTTAAAAAGTAAAGAGTACCAAGAATAGTGTGGGGCGCGGAAGGTTTTTTTTTTTTTTTTTTTTTTTTTTTTTTTTTTTTTTTTTTTTTTGTTTTCTTTTCTTTTGCGGGGTGTGGATTTAATAAAGACATCACGAAATGACTTCACCATGCAAAGGCTCTATACAAACTTCCTGCTGCCATTCATTCTCATCCTCATCATCATCATCATTTACACTATTACAACAACATCTTCTTTGTGGATTTCATCATCTTCGTAGGCGAGTAGCCTCACCAGAGGCTATTGTATATGGTGTTGTTGGACTGCTGTTGGCGGCGGAAGGTGCCCACTACACACTAAGATGGATGTACTGGAGACGAAAGAGAATAGAAAAGCAACAGCGGGAAAAAAAGAAGGTGAAATCTTGTGAATATGATACTTTAAAAGAAGAAGGAAATAATGAAGAAGAAAATGAAGAAGAAGAAGAAGAAGAAGGAAAGGTATCTTCTATAGAAGATTATTTTTCTAAACTAAGTGCTGTGATCCTTGCAGCCCCATGTACACCAACAGAAATAGCCGAAACTCGTATAGAGTTGATTATTCCATTTGTTTCTCCTATTACTAGTAGTACTGGTAATACTTTTGGTGTGGATGAGACAATTCCAGAAATTGTTAGGATTCTTTGGGAGAATCGTGTACGATATACATTAGATGAACGTGAGATTCTCATGTTACTAAAGCGTGAAACTCAATCACATGAGTGTGGGAAAAACTACGCTATTGCTGCTGCCTCTTTAGCATTACTTTGGCGATTGCAGTTAGTACGATCTGTTCACGAAGCACTAATTATACACGAAGATGTTAGTCGTTGTAGTGATGAACTGGATGATTTAAATACGTACTCATCACGCTTTTACCAGGTTTTTATTTCTCCACTAAATGATACTTTAGTGAGAGAAGCATCCATCGTATCATTATCATCATCCACAGCAGTATCTGTAGCAAGAGCCACGGCAACGGCAACTATATTTATGACTTGTTGGTATTCACTTTCTGCAGAATTGCAGCATCTACGTTCTCGTCGTCGAGCACTACAATTACGAAATCTGTGGAGTTTGGCTAAATATGCATACGCTAGTGGAAGAGATCGATTAGCCACTTTTACAGTTATGAGTGCACTCACAGCAATTGCAGCTTGTAATGCCAATGCGGGTCTTATTCTACGAGAACGTGTTATCCAATCACCACTTTCCACAACTTCTTGTAATTCTCTTAATAGTTGTGGAGGAGGAATCGCATCTTGGCAGACAACGACGTATAATATTCTTTCTTTATTGGCATTTGAATGGGCACGGCAGATTGTAACGGAGGGAATTACTCGAATTATGCGGGATTACATTCGGGCCTCGGCATCTCGTCATCGTGATTATGTAAAGAGACGATTGTATGAAGCTCTAGTCCACACACCATTAAGTTATTTTGATATGAATGATCATGATACAGTGGAACAGCTCTTATATTACGCGAATGATCTTGAGGGAGTGGATGTGTATGTACATGATTTCTTTGCAGGTGCTGTTCGTGTAGTAATGATGCTTTCAGCTGCGGGAAGTGTACTTCATAATAGAGATCGTGCGGTGGTATTTCTGACGGTTGTGGGAGGCCGAATGGCTGTAAAGGTATTAACGTATTTACGTGAAGAGTATATAGTAAAGAGTAACAGGGTCAATGATAATGCCTTTAATACTAATAATCCTAATAATAATAATAATAATAATAATAATAATAATAATAATGATGGGTATATGTATGCGAATGATGCTGAAGAAGAAGAGAATGGAAATACTGCAACAGATGGTATCATGTTGCATGGAATGGAAATTATTGAACATATTCACGAATTACGCCCATACGCGGCGGAGACAGCTTTAATGAGATGGTGGATTTCATATACATCTAAATATTGGAATCAACCAACTGGGATAAGGCGTATACTACATATTTTACTCTCTTCTCATCGATTATGGGCTATAGATGGACTTGTATCTGTTATTAAGTCTTTCATTCCATCTATAGTGGCGGTATGTTTCTCTGAAGGCTGCACAGCCAGACGTGGGGCTCTCACTGAAGGTATACACGCCGCACAGGAGATGTTGGATCATTTAATAGATGCCCAACGAGTGATAGAAGTGGTATTGAATAATGCCTATAAGGCTAATATACTAGAACGTATATTGGATTCCCGTCACTGGGAAGAAAAGGATGAGGAATATATGAATGAAAAGGAGAAGCAGAAGGAAAAGGAAAAGGAAGAAGAAGAAGAAGTAGAAGAAGAGGAAGAAGAAAAAGAAAAAACTAAGAATGATAATCATAGTAATAATTATAATAATCATATTGATAATAATAATACTTCAAAGTCAACTACTGGTAAACATCTTCTATATATGAAAGCTGATCTTGAGGTTCATGGTATACGAGCAGAGGGATTGCAGTTTCAATATCCCACAGCCCCAACTGTGAATGCCTTCTTAACGCCGCTTTCATTTATTATTCAACTACAAAATTCAACCACAGGATCAGGAGAAATGATTTGTGTAACTGGATTAAGTGGATGTGGTAAGACAACACTTTTGCGTCTTTTACTGGGACTTTACACGGCGAACTCTGGAAGTCTGATGCTGCAATTGCGGGAAAGACATCCCACAAGGAAATTACACATGGAAAAGAAAGAAGAAGAAAAAGAAAAAGAAAAAGAAGAGAAAGATGATATAGAATGGATTCCGATTACATCCATTCCACGTCAATTACTTCGATGTCGATTATTCAGTTACGTTCCGCAGGTCGCCACTCTATTTCCTGGTGCCACTATTGCTCAAAACATTTCTTTACAAAATCGTATTTCCATCACAGAAACATCTCTTCTTAAACGAATATACACTTGTGCAGAGGCGGCATCTTGTTTAGATTTCATTGATCGTTTACCGCAGGGATTATTAACACCGCTGGCAGATGCGAATGGCTGGGCCTCGCCTGGGGCTGTTCGCCTGAGTGGAGGACAAGCCCAACGACTGATGCTCGCCCGGGCACTTTTTCACAGCGGCGGAGTTTTGTTAATGGACGAGCCAACAGCCGCTTTGGATAGTTTAACAAAGCAGAGAATGATAACAACATGGAGAGATCTTTTACAATCCGGTCAATTGCGAGGGATATTGTGTGTTACCCATGATCCAGAGGTGTTGGGAAAGGCAGATCAGATTGTTCGGCTTTAAAGAGATGAATAATGTATGTGTGTTTGTGTGTTTGTGTGTGTAATCGTTTTTTTTTTTTTTCTTTTTTTCTTCTTCTGTCCTTTTCTGCTTTCTTTTTTTTCTTTATTTGTGTATGTAAATATAAGTATTCTTTTCTTTTTTTTTTTTTTTCTGTCTTCATGGAACGGGTAACAGCTTCTCTACTGCGTGATGACAGTTTCTTTGCTGGACTCTGCTCTCTCTCTCTCTCTCTATATATATATATATATATATATATATATATATCTTTATCTCTCTTTATATCTGTATAAGTTGTGGGTTCTGCAGACATATATTATGTTTGGGCTCTCTATTGCGTCTTGAGTTTACTACAAGGGGAACAACATAAAGAAAAGAAGTAATAATAAAAATAAAAATAAAAAAAGAGAAATTAAACCTTTCAGTGGTATTTATATTGCTTGTGTGTGTGTTTACTGTTTTCTTCTTTTTCTTCTGTTTTTTTTTCTTCTTGTAGTCATGATGAACGACTGTAGTTGAACGATCATTAATCCTTCTTTACGTATATGGGATTAAAATTTAAGGAAGCTGGTAATACTCTTTGCATTTAACAATTCTGTTTTTCATTATTATTATTATTATTATTATTATTCACATTTACTCTCCCTCTGTTCCTGAATGATGTGTGGTTGGTATTATTTGCATATAAAGTAGTTTTTATTTTTCTCTCTTTCTCTTTTTCTTTCTCTTTCTCTTTCTCTTTGTTTGCTAATTGTAAACATCTATCTATCTATCTATCTATTTATCTATTATTACTCAGTAGAGAAACAAAAAGGAATCAGAAAGGAAGATATTCTTTTCTTTTTTTTTTTCTTGTCTCATCTCTAGTGAGAGAGAGAGAGAGAGAGAGAGAGAGAGAGAGAGAGAGAGTCCTCCAAATAAAAGAAGAAAAAAAAAAAAAAGATGTATGTCGCATCCCCAACCAACCGTGGTCCGGTATTTCCCACTGAAACTGTGGATGAGAATATAATGAAGGAAGTCAAAGATCTCACCGCACCCGGCCACTATAAACTCATTGCTCATCATGCCCCACATGTGCGTTCGTGGAGATATCGTGATCGATCAAGAAAACGACTCACACGAAGACTTCAGGCGGTTGTAAACGATGGTGAAGAGGAAGACAGTGATGATGAGAGTTGTTGTAGGTTTAGTCGTTTTTGTTGTTGGTGTTGTCCATCCTTACGATCAGGAGATAGAAGAGACGGTAGTAATAATAATAATAATAATAATAATAATAATAATAATAATAATAATAATAATAATAATAATAATAATAATAATATTCATCATAGGAAGGAACTTGGATTTGCAACCACATCAGGAGCCAAACGATTTTTTCAAAGTATTGTATGGGAAAGACCACGATTGGCAATGTGTGTTTGGGCATTTCTGTTTATATGTGAAACGGCAATGGTTGTATTGTATGTTTTGCAAACCACACATGTATCTGATGTAACGTGGATTCGTTATAGTGAAAGAGAGTTTTCATGGTTTGATTATGTGCAAACGATTCTTTCAATCGTATTACTATCTCAACTCTTTTTTGCATATTCTGTTTCTATCTATACAATTCTGATTGTGCTCTTAACATCTGGTTATCAAATAGTAACTTTTGTTATTGCATTCTTTGGTGATTTGCGATGGTTGAGTCGAATATATGTTCCTTTATTTTTACGTTGTTGGCCTATGCGACAGTATTTTCTTTTTCTCTTAGATGCTGTTGCCATGTTGAGACCACGAAATCATAAATTGGATGTGATTCGTTTAGCTGCAGGTCCACTTACCTATTTTCTTGCTATTTTCTTTACAACCGGCTGTATATTTCATATTCATCAATTAATGCGTGGTGTAGATATAAATATTGGTGTCGCCATGTATTTTCTTATGGTAACTGTATCCACCGTTGGATTTGGAGATGTTGTTCCATTTGGTCCTGATGGTCGGGCTATTTGTATTGTGATTATCTTTTTCTTTATGGCTCAAATGCCTTCATGGATTATGTTAGTCCATTCCACTATTAAACTATTAAAAAAATTCCCTAGCTATACTGGTAGAAGACGTCATATTATAGTATATGGACATGTGAAATATGAAGAGGCAGTGGCTCTTCTGGAAGAAGTTTTTGTACTTTATCCAATGAAATCGGTTTGTTTTTGTAATAGTGTACATACCCGAGATGTAAAGGCAATTGGAAGACATCCACGATATAGATTACGATGTAAATTTTTAGAAGTACGTGTATTAGATGAACGAACCTTATTACGATTACGTGTACGTGAAGCTGCATCTATTATTATATTTCCCTCATCTGGTGAATCCACCACAACTAGAGATGATGATGTGATGTTATCATCTATTGTTTTTCAAAGACATGCCCCACAAGTTCAACAATTTCTACGTTTACGATTTGGTCTTCATGTAAAGTTATTACGAGAACGTAATAAAACTGTAATTGATCAACAAATGAAAACTATTATGGCTACAGCTCTTTTACTTCCAGGAGTTGTTCCTTTTCTAGTGAATCTTGTTAATACATCTTCCTCCCAAGGGACCTCATCTCCAAATCTATGGACAGAAGAGGAACAAGATAATTGGAAAGAATTATATGAATATAGTAGACGAAATATATTTGGAACTCATCCTGTTCCCTGGTATTTTGTCCATCTTCCACTTTTACGAGTCATTCGACTTATGAAAATGTATAATGTATTGATTGTAGGTGTGGAAGAGGCTTCTCGTCGACTCATGCGATTTGATTTAGACTATTTACTAGAACCAGAAGATACTTTACTCTTCATATATGAAAAAGGATCAAAAAGTGTTGAACGGGCTTTTACCGCATTACAACCGCATGATAATGGAGGAGGTGTTATTCATGTTTTACCAGGAGAAGCCGCCGGTATTCGATCTTCACAAGGATCTGTACATACTTATATGACCCCAGGTGTTTCTCAACCAGATTTATTTGAATTTGATTCCGTTTCTGTTGATTCTTCAGGAAATGATGAGAGAATATTTTATCCGTTTAATACAAGTTTTGATTTACGAGATGTACAAAGAGAAGGGATAACATCTAATGAACCTCTGGCTAAATCACATTCAGGTAAAATAAAGGCGGAAAAAAATAAGAAAAAACATTCCACACAATACTTGGATCATGGTAAAGAATTAAGAGAAAAACTTTTACGTCAACCATTTGTAAATAAATGTCCTTGTGGAGTTCCATTAAGTGAACTTCCATTAGGTGGATCACTTTCCGTATTACGTGAACTACTACGATGTTATAATAATAAAGTAACAGAGAATAATACTGGAGATGAATCTATTGGACGATTGGAACAACAAATAAATGATATTCTTACCCATGTAGCTCATGAATATTTACATGGATTTGAATTTTCAGAAACCCCAGAGTATTTCCTATATATAGATCAAGTTGCCGCTTTTAAAAAACCACAATTGCAATCACTTTATGATACGTATCTTAATAAATCGGTTTCACAATTTGAGTTAGTACAAATGATGCGTTGTATATTAGCCATTCATGATAATTCCCGCCTAACGACTATTACTACTAAAGGATTAAGTTATGATTTTCTTGAATGGTGGAATAGAGCCTTTAATCATCCTTTACAGTATATTCGTGGGTTAAGTACATTAGAATCTCATTTAGATTATGCCCTTTCACAAAGTGGAGATATTAGCAGACTTCGAGGTATATTATTATGTTGTTCTCAACTAGGTACATGGGACTTTGAAGATGTTCCGTTAATAACTGTAGAGAATAACATTCGTGATCTTCTTCAATGGGCTTCGATGCGTCAACAAACCAATAATAATAATAATAATAATAATACTAATAGTAATAGTGATGGTGAATCTAAAGAACTTCCAATATCTACAGAACAAAATATCGTGGTGGAATTACAATCCTTTAAGTCTTGTGTGTTTGTCACTCCTCATCACACAGATGAAGAGTGGCGTCGTCGTGGAGAAGAACAATTTCAATATTCATTAGCCTTCATGATGGGCCGTTGTTTCTCTACTAATATGTTGCACACGATCTTTATTCATGCCCAACGGGATCATCGCATTATGCAATTCTTTGAAATGATTCTCTGTCTTCGTGCACAGACGGATCTCTTTGATGTAAATGCCTGGTGTAATTCCCGTCAAACCTTCCCAACACTCTTTCAGGTGTGTGGAAATCAACTCCTGCACTTTCAGAAGTTTGGCGATGCCTTTTCGTTTCTCCTCACACGGCGGTCGTGGGTGACGATTGGGGTATTCCGGCAGTTCCCCCAATCAGAGGGACTGCAGGGGACTCCGCGGTATTTCATTGCGAATCCCTCGCTGGAGATGCCGCTGCGGCCGGACGATGTGATGTACGCACTCTTGGCAACTGGGGCAGCCAATAATGTTGGGAATCAGTAAAGGTAAAGAGAAGAGGAAAGAATATATATATATATATATATATATATA